AAAGTACTTAAGCACATAAATGGCATTTATTAATTTATTTTTCTTAATGGTTACCTAGACACATACAAAGTCTAATCACAGCTTTCAATTTCTTTTGAAAGAATAAGTGTTATTATAAAATAAAATTTTGGTTGAAAGTAGTTTGTTGTTTTATTCACTCATATAGTCCTTTTTTAAAAAAATATATTTTTTTAGTTGTAGATGGACACAATACCTTTATTTTATTTGTTTATTTTATGTGGTGCTAGGGATCGAACCCAATGCCTCATACATGCTAGGGAAGTGTAGTCTTATTGTGGGATAAAGCAATTTCTATTAGGGATTTGGATCTTCAATACCTAGGCTACAGACTATTATCTGAAATCCCTTTCCACATTTTGAATGGGAAGGTGCCTAAATTAAAAAATCCTAGCCAGGCATGGTGGTGCATGCCTGTAATCCCAGCAATTTGGGAAGCTGATGTAAGAGGATCACAAGTTCAAGGCCAGCCTTAGTAACTTAGCAACCCTGTCACAAAATAAGAAATAAAATGGCTGAGGATGGGTCTCAATGGTAGAATGACCCTTGGTTCAATTTCTAGGACAAAAAAAGATTCCTACTGAACCAAATTAAGTAATCTGTACACATCACAATTTTTTTTAAAACCATATATCCATACATAATATAATAACAAAACTACGAGGCACAGATTTTTTTTGGCTTATCCCCTTTAGGGATCTTAAATTAACCAAGCTTGGCAGGCCCTGTCTCCTTCTCTCTTTTTAAAAAAAACTATTAGCACCTTGGCAGTAGGAGGAATCTGTGATGTTGCCAGGTCTTTTTGGTGACAGATATTAAGTGCAGATGAATGCTGTGAAATTCTAAATGTCAGCACCAAGAAGCTCATTCAAGTATTTATATTACACTTGGCCAGGAAGGGCCATGAAAGATTGATGACTGCTTGGAAGAGAGCATTGTTGTATGAACTCAGTCTGGATTCTGTGATGTTGGAGTACTAGAATTCTGTGTCAATAACTGTTCAAAATCCTATCCTATAGGGTAGGTAACTTGGATATTTTTTTCTTTTCTGGCATCCACTTCCATTTTCTTTTGACAATAGCTCTAATTTTTATTTGATGATCTGATTTTCTTTCATTTCTAGTTCAAGAGAGCAGGGTTTCACCTGATTCTAAAATTTTGGATAGACTTCAGGAACCTGATGAATCCTAAACTATACTTCTGCTCCATGAAATAGAGTAGGTCGATTATTACCTTCCTTCAGGCTGGGTGGCTGCTGAAGTAACTTTATATTCTCTATAATTTTTACTTCTTATATTTATTTACTTAGTTTTATGATACACTTACATCAACTGAAGCAACCATGTATGTGTCTCTGCAATGAGTTCTTTCCCCTGAGTTTTCAAAACAACTACGAGGATCTCTAAACAACCAGTTCTTTAAGATTTTCCCATCTGTAGATTCAACCAAACACAAATCAAAAATATTTATCTTTTTTGCTCTTTCTGATG